CTTTTCCAACCTAAATAAATTTAGCATTCTATGGTGCTCCTTGGTATCTGATTTTAGACTCCCTGGTTTCCAATTTTTACAGAGAGGATGGACAATGGATAGAGTTGCAAAGGGCAAAAAATTAACAGAGCACAGATGCAGCTGGTGTATAGGTGCTAGAAGTGATGTGAAAGGTGTATAGAAATTATTTGAGATTCCCATTACACACTTGGGAAGGGGTCATAAGGAAAAATAGCAACTAACAAGAAGACAGACATCAAAATTGGAAAAGGCTGCACAATGAGGCTATGACCTTAATAATATCTGTTCACAGACAAAAAAGTGCCCAGGAAAGCCAGGTTTCTGCTCTCTCCTTCTGCATTTGGATATTTTGGACATTCCCATTTTTTACCACTGACAGCAGTAACAGGAACAGAGAAATTAGAAACTGCTGTGGTTTCCTTCTTCCCCCTCCCAGTCCAAAAGCTTGAGAAGCCCTTTGTTCAAACATATGGCAGTACCCTCTTAAAGCCACTAGTTATATCCATCATCACTCAAACACGCCCATTCTGAAAACTAAAGGACAGACCTGAATTTTGGATATACATCACCTCTGTTCCAATCTCTCCTTTATGACTGAATGTGTGTTGGAAAAAAAACTTAATTCCACCACAAAGAATATACATAAGTTAGTTTTTAAGCAGTAAATTTAAAGTAGAAATTTGAGGTTGCTGGTAGGAGTCAAGAATTTTGAGTTAAATTCCCATTATGAGAATTATAAGGAATTTTTATTTTTATGACAATTTAGCCAAGGAAATGATTTCCAGGTGCAGTAAAGGAGCAGAAAACAACTCTGATTAAACCTTAGTACATCCAAATCCATAAATTAAAGAAGATAAATAAGATAGCCTCCATTAGTCCAGCCCTTAAATAATTTATAACTGAGTGCCCACCTATAACTGGTTGGGTCTTTTTTGCTGTTGGGTTTTTTGCTTAAAGAAGCAATTCCAAACAACCAAGAAACAAGAGAAAGATAGCATATACAACTAAAAGTAAATGTAGTTGGTGATATTACTTGTCCTTTATTTTGTATTTCTGTTGTGCCAAAGGAGCAGAGACATCAATCTCTATTTGGCACGGCCTGAACGTTACTTGATAGGAATTGTAAATACCGGTCTCTGTGTTTTGCTATTAGTGACATGCAGCACAATGTCTGACACCAATAGAGTTTGCTGCAACAAGATCACAATTGCTGAACATGAATTTTTTATTAGCATACTATTTTAAATCTTGACGTTGTCCCTTTAAAAGCTTTGAGATGGTTTTCCTGTTCAATCCCTATTCTAGAGGTTTTTTTGTGATTGATCAGAGCTAGATGATGGTTCTGCCTCTGCCTTTCTGGCCTCTCTCATGCTAGCACTCCAACAGAATTACAGACGGACAAACCCCCCCTGCCTTATGCAGACACAGATATGGGGCAAGAAGCAAGAAGCATCTCTTCTCTGTGTGGCTGATTGTACCAGCCAAGCAGAACTGCAGCCACAGGGAGAATGGGAGCTGGGGCTTTTTGCTCTGTAGAGACCACACAGCCTCTGAAATGAGTAGAAAACAGCAGAAAACAGGGTATGGCTGTGCTTGGTGCTCCCCAGGCAGCAGCCAGAAAAATTATCAGACTGCAAAGGGAAACAGCCTTCATCTCCATGAAGGGTTGGGACATTCATCTTGGCAGGGGAAAGGCTCTCTAGGCACACCACACAGTGGGGCTGGCTGCAGGCTGCAGGCAGGGGGAATCCTGCCACTGAGATCTGCCATGAACTCAAAGTCTGAGGTGGGAGAGTATGGGACCCCAGTTCAGAGGTAGACCCAGGTACAAGACAAACAGACCCTTATGTCCAAGAGGAGAAGGAACCAGCAGAGAAAGTTGCAGGCTTGACCGGTTTTTCAGAGGAGCATCTCTTAATGAAGGGACTGCCTTTAATGACTGCTTGGAGGCAACCAAACCAGTGCAGCTGAACAGATTAAGAGAGAGGGGGGAAATCTCACATTTCAGCATGTTATCCAGCATGGTCTGCAAGGACAGGAGAAGGAAAGATTGATGGACATCACATAGATTCCTCAGTTCCTTCCCAGAAAGCTGAACTATTACTACGGCTGTTGAATTCTGGCTCAAATAATAAACAGTTAGTTGCAACATTGCTAATGTTGATAGTGCTGTCATATTACAAACAAGAAAGAAAGGACCATGCTCTTCTTACAAGAACACTGCACCTGTCTTTTAATCTCATCCAGAGAGCAAAATACTTACCACAGTTTTCCACTGAGTGGGCAGGTGGCCTGGGAGAAGATGGGAGAGCTGTTTAAATTAGACTAAGCATTCCTGATCATGTTGTTTGTTTTAAAAAACAGACCAAAAATTCTTCATCTACAGCTGGCAGATTATCTCCTCCTGATTCCCAAGCCCGAATAGCCTTTGAGAGATTTTTTTGCTGAAAATGCTTAAGCTTTTAAAAATCGGAATTGATAAGAAATAAGCTCTAAGGCCCTTCACTGCTCTGCTGAAAGTGCCACCGGCTCCTGTAGCTACTACATGCAGCCTGTGGGGAGAGACCTTGGTCAGCAGCGGGGCTAGTGCCAGCCGGCTGTCCCGCACCGCAGCCACAGGGAATCACCACCCATTCTCAGCTTGGGCACATGCTGGTTTTTCCCCTTCCAGGATTTGTCAGCTGATCTGGTTAATATTCTTAAAAAATCCTTTAGACTCAGCAGTGATTTATATTAAAGACCCTCAGTGATTTCCCAAATAGGCTGTAAATCTTTTTGGTGGATGATGGAGACACAGAACAGCAGTCACTGCTAGCAGGTAAGCACTGCAGCCATACCCTGCTCTGACGGTACCAGCAGCACGTCCCGTGGCTGCTTGCTGCCATGTCTAATATCTTTGGTCCTCCCAAGCCAGAAACTGCTGGAAAATTGGAAACAATTGCATTTACTCATCTATGTGGTCCTGGTTAAAACAAACCCTGCTTTTTATTAATGCTCTTTCTTTTTAATTTGTGCTTTTTGTCCTGTTAGACTGTCCTCTTGCTCTTCATTTGAGCTTTTTGTTGGTAGATCTTCTACCAAGTACAAGATGGTTGGCTATGAATTCCTTTTTCCAAGAAGAGTGACTGAATAATTGCCACAGCTATGTATATGCATGCACCCACAAGTGTGCTGTTGGTCAAGGTGCTCTCACTGCCAGGGTATCTGTGTCATCATGTCGTGGCATCATATCTCCTATAATACTTAACCAAAATCAACCTTTTCAGTTCTCAAGTGATGTTATTAGCCAGTTAGTCATGAGTAGCTACTAAATTTGGTACAATATCACCCTATTCATCTCATTCAGCTAAATCTAGCTTTACTGGAACAGATGCATTCTTCTGTGCTGAATTAAATGCAGCTAGAGTCCTGACTTTTTTTCTGACTTTAGGACAGAGTTAGGAAAAAGCAGCAGAAGTAGATCTGAAAAAATAGGTATTCCACTCATAAAGAAAAAATAAATTCTTCTGTTTGCAATAAACATATTGCATATGAGAGCAAAACATGATTTTTTTCTTACTTCAAATAAACGCACATATCCTCTCAGACCTCACACTAAGACAGTTACCTAAGGGAAATGCTGAACAGACTCAAGTAATAGGTCTGTAATAAAAAATAGATCTGCAGACAGAGCTGGCTGTGTTCACCACTGTCAGGGTCTTTCCTATTAGTTATTTATATGGCAGTATAGATTAGCATACTACTTCACAGAAATAAATACAAAAAGGAGTGAAGTCCCATATCCCAGGAAGGCAGGGAAATGGCTGAAGCCCTGCTCACCTCGCTGGGTGTGGCAAGTGATCTGCAGCCAGCACTGGGAATTACACCATTTCTGTAATGCACTGGGTGAAAAGTGTCTTAAGAAGGAATGTAAATCTGTGGGGGCTGACAGCTGCATGTTGATTCGGGGCCTGGTTAACAACTATTCAAATCAGTGTTGGCATAGGGGAAATAGTACGAGTGATTTCAAAATCCCATTAAGGACTTGACTATCTTTAACCCCTAAACTCCTTTCAAAATCTAGCCACTAAGTCAATAACGTGAATTCTTTATCATCCTTACACTATAGTATTGAAGAATTTTCTATTAAAATTCTGTTATAAGCATGTGAAGTGGGCTGAAATGTTAACCACACAGAAATCAATGACTCAGCTTCACTGGGTTTATAAATTCCTCAAAGAGTTTTGTTTTAAGAAGTGCAGATACCGCTGATTTGATTGTCCCTCTTACAGCAGAAATTTGTGCTCTAAACTAAAAGCTAAACTAAGGAACCTGTAGTTCTGGTCTTGCAGTGACCCTGTCAAGAGATGTCAGGCTAGACATCATGTTTGTGGGTTTTTTAATTCAGTTTTGCTATCAGAAAAACAGTGCCTCCCTATTTCACCCAATCCTTATGATTGTTGCTATGATTATTACTATTTCATGGTACTCCTATCAAGCCTACATTGGTTTTGAAGATTGCCAAGACCACATCAGGCCTTGTGAGATCTTTTCCCTAGCATAGATTTCAGGGACAGAACAGGAGTGGGGAAAGGCAATCAAAAATCACATCCTGACAGCAGCTGCTTGCAGTGGAAAGAAACATTGCTGAAAGTATTCTTTGCTTTTTCTTCAAATTTTCAGCTGGAAATCAAGAGCAAAACTACTACTTTGTAGTCCTCCAACTTTCCACAGACCACCAGCAAATTGCTGCACAGGACAGCTTGGGAATGAACGTCAGGGCTATGTTACTGCAAAATCACTAAGGACAAGTGCTAAGAACAAAAATGAATAATTGCTTTAAAGGACTTCTTGGTATTAATAACAAGTAAGTACCCTAGAAGCCCGAGAAAACTGTCTTGAAGTGAAAAATACAGGGAAAGTCTTCATCAAATCTCAAAAAAATTTTGGTTGGAAAGGGTTTTTGGAGGTGATCTAGTCTAAGCCCCTGATCAAAGCAGAGGTAACATCAAAGATAGATCAGATGATATCTCAAAGGACAGAGACTCCCCAGCCTCTCTGGTCAACCTGTCCCAGGCAAAAAAATCCTATTTACTAAGCAGTGTATATAAACATCACATACAGGAAGATTTACGGTAAAGAATATCTACTTTTATGAATTTGCACGTATTTTATATCTACAGTACATATAAATAAATAGTAATGTGTATACAGTGAACATATACATATTTGATGCACACACACAAAAGAACTGCAGCAGTGGAATCACTGCCCAGCACTAGGACCCATTCCCAAATGAATGACGACTTTGATTAATGGCAAGTTAGCCCATTTTTGACAAGATTCTCAGTCATCTGCCTCAGATAGTGATGGGGCAACATAAACTTGGCCGTGTAGCCCTGGGATGCCAGACACTGGCACATCCTCCCGAGCCGTTAGCACTTCCTAGAATGAGTCTGTGGAAATAAAATAATTCACGATGACAGCAAATTATAGATACACTGAAAAGCAGAAGTACCTAACCTCTCCTCCTTTTCTTGATCTCCTTCCAAACTGTTTGATGAACTATATCCTTTCTTATCTGCCCTCCACATTATGCAGTCCTCGTGGACAGGCTGTGTAGTAACTTGAGTTCGTGTTTCCTTGGGCAGCTCTACCTACAGGAGTGCCCCATGGGCTGAGGTTCCTGAGCACCATGACCACAGAGAACTCTGCCACAGAGACAGGAACCTCCAAGATCTTGAGTTTTTGCTGGTTCCCAAAATTCACATTCACAATATTGCCTCTGGAATGCCACATATGTGACCAGAAGCCTGAATGAAATGTTTGGCTTCCGGCTCCACACTGGGATAATGATGAGTCTTGCAAATCTTGGGTCCCTCCTAGGCTTCTCCTGATGCACTTGGACATGTTCAACAACTTCTGGGAAGGTCCCCGAAGCACCTGCAAGAGTCAGGAATTTGGTTCAGCTTTGCAAATCTAACTTTTAGAGCTGTTATAATGACATTCTGACAATTTCAGTTTTTATGCTAAACAATGCCTATGTTTCACAAACTGTTAGGATTTTCTTCCAAAACCAGATTTTAAGTTTGCACCAGCTGTTCTCACAGACACTGGTCCCTTCTTTCGAAAATACCCTTCCTGTCTCTAACACTGTTACCTGTGATGCAACCAGCTTCTCATATTAGAGGTACATGAACCTATGTTTGTTAGTCTGCCTCTAAGATGGTGACCAGGTATAAAACGCTAGACAAAGGACAGGCATCTGTGCATTAATTCCTGTAATTAATCCTTTTCTGGTTTGACTAAAGTTTCCACTCTATTTCCAGTCCATTTTATGTGCATTTGGACACATAAACACAGGGTTGCATATACCTCTGTCTCACTACAAACAGCCTCCAATAATGGTCACATTTGCCTCACTTTCCCTAACTATAAATATGAGATTAGTTTTTGTTGGCTCAATTAATCTGGCATCTGCCCTCTGCACCCTATAAATCATAACACATGCAAAGGAGGGCTCATGCTTTAACAGCAGTATTGATTAACCCAGACCTCTGGGTTAGGAGTAAAGCCTTTTTAATTACTTTGGCTGACTTTCAGGGGGGTTTTGTTGTGGTGTTTGTTTTGGGATTGTTTTATTTTTTTTACAATGTCTTGGGAAGACTAGTACCACGTTTTAGCGTTGTTATCACTTAGCTTAGATTTGGAGTTTTGGTCCCCAGAGAAACATCTACCTCAGCCTGGTCTGCCCATGCTTGGCATCAAAATCAGAAAAAGTAATTCTTTTACTTTCTCTAAGGATTTGATAACCTCTTCACTTTCCTTAGCCAGAGGTGTTTTGACCTTTAATTAAAAGGAAAATTTGTTGTCTTCCATTCAGAAGGCAGCAAATAATGAACTCATTAAAATGAGGTTAGTGTTCAGGCCTTAGAGCAATAAGAGCCGAAGTCTCATTAGCAGCTAACAATCCAGAACATAGCACATAAATAAACCTAATATGGCAGAGCAAAATGCCTTGGTGCATTAAATTTGAGCAGAATCAAATGTTTACAGTCAATGATGTCTGGGGCATGAAGTTTTAATGTACTTAATAAAGGAAAGCAAATTGCTTCCTATTAGGCATGAAATGTTGCTGCAGAAATTGCCCCAAAAAGTTTATTATGTAAATGAAGGATAGAGTTATAATTAACAAGGACATAGCGGGAAAATATCAATTCTTCTTAATAGATGCGCCAATCATGAAGAGTAAAGACACTGCAACTTCATATCTACAAAAGGTAATTATATGGATTAACGTAAAAGCCTGCTGCATGTAAATGCAATATAAAGAAGAAACCGTGTCTTGTGGATGTCACAGAGAGAAGCCTCATTGACAAAGCAAAGAATCAATTAAGAAAATGAAACCCATGAGTTTTAAGAGATTCCAGGCAATTAAGGTTTTGTATTTGAAAGAACAGCTTAGATTACCTTAAAAATAACTGCACACTTTGATTAGTCTGGCACAGAGATGTGGCTGTTTGTCCATGTGCAGGTGTGCTCTGTGGTTCTTTGCTTGGAGAACGATAATCATTTAGCATGATCTATTTAACTGCCCAAAAATAAAACAGTGAATTCCAGCTGTTGCTGTGACACACTTTAATACTGTGGTCAGATGAAACATCCAGAAGAAAAATCTTCTCTACAAAGTAAGATTTGTCATGCTTTTTTTTTTTTTAAATCCACATTCCTTTATACAAATTTCCCTTCTGTTGAAGTTGTGGACAGCCTCTACCAGTTTCTCCCTCAGTGAAGGCAGCAAAGTCCTGAGGTCAGCATTCGATGGGGACGGGACAGGGACAGCTGAGCCCCGAGGGAAGGAGAGCTGCCAAGCGGAGCTGGGGAGAGCAGGGCAGGACCAGGCAGACTGGGAATAGCTGTGTTCACACGTGGCCTTGGGCAGGATTTCCAGCTCAATAGCTCTTCTCCATCCTGCAAAACCCTTCAGAAAAGAATATATACCTCCTGCCTCGCGTGAAGATTGCGTGAGTCCCGGAAAGGTTTCTGGCACTGGGTGCTAGGGATGTGCAGCTCCTTCACCCTGCACCGTCCAGGAGCCAGGGAGCCAGAACACTGCCTGAGCAGCAGTGTTTGTGACTGTCCTCACAAACAGGCACACAAGCAGGGGTTCACCCACCCGGGTGGGTGAGAGAAGCGTGGTGGGAGAAAGTTGTCTGCTCTTCTGCTGCTGCGGGACTTTCTATGCTGTTAAGGTCTGTGCCTACAGGAGACCAAAGTTCTCATTATTTACTGTGCAAAATTACCAGTGAAGGCAGCATGAATCATTAGCAATTTTGCTTGAAAATATATTTATTAAAAACACAGAAGGCAGACCCTAATTACCTAAACAGACATTTATTTTTTTTGTTATGTTACGGATGTGGAAGACATTAACCCTCCCTCTAGAAAAAGGCAAGTAGTGACAAAATAAGTTTGGACTGACTTAGCTGACAATACCTTATTAGTATTAAAATTAGATGAGGTCATTAAAATTAAGTTTAGCTGCATATTACATGAATTAATATGCATATACGGAAATTGCAATTACAAAAAAAAAAAAAAGTCTTTAGGACCAAGCCAAATCCAATTTGAGTGACAGATTTGCCCTTTAGACAGAGAAAAACGCCTGACTCACTGCAGGTTACAGGATTTACGTCTTAATCCTCACTCTGTGTTTTTAATGAGACCTCACCGGGCTGGAAGGCTTCTGCCTATCCCACAGTTCTGTCATCTTATTGAGACGTGAGTGTGAGGGAAATCAGAGAGAAATGATGTTTGTTTTGTGTACCTTCTTATACTGTATGTTAAGAGATGATAGTTTCTCAAGATGTTCTTTCCTCAAAGGAAAATTGAATTCATTTTGCTTAGCCCATCAGTCTTTCTCAACATATATAAAATTCTCTAGGATACCTTGGAAATTTATGTTCTAAAATATAATGACTCAGATTCTATACTCGCGACTTTAATAGTGTCAATTTAGTGCCAGTTTTTACCAACTGGGGATTTTCCTTAGTGTCTTAGCTAAAAGTGATGTTGATCTCTAAGGGTTCACATTTTAGTGAACATTTAGGTGTTATATATTATGTAAAGATAGTCCCACACAAGAAATTGTCACAGGATTGAAATAATCAACTTATTAAATACCTGGCAAGATAGGTCGCAAACCATACTGCTATCTTAATATTTATGCTAAAGCATAAAATTTACTGTCATAAGATTACTTTATTTTCTTTAGCAAGGAAAGAAATTTGCTTGGTGACTGCTGTAGCTGATAACGACTATCTTTGTTTTGCATCTTTCTTTAACACCCAATAAATGTTTCTATTTAAAAATCGAAGGCAGATGCACACTGTCTGACAGCCTTTTGTATTACACTCCCAAGCTGCCTGGCACCTGAATGATGACTCTTTAGAAGGCGGGTCTTAGCAAATGATGCTGCAGAAGTGGCATGAGCTCCAACACGCATAGTGCCCAAATATCTGTGTAATTAGGCGGGAGTCAGTAACTTTAAGAAGTTAATGTCCAACAGCAAATGCTGACAGTAGCTGACAACATCTCCCAACCCACTGTAGTGCAAAAGAAACGTGATAAATCAGGAGACCACAGAAATCCAAACTGCTTAGTTTGTTCCCACTCTGGACTAGGATTGCACAGGCCATCAGTCTTCATCTCAGCTGCTTAAACCCTGGTTTCGTCACTTACACTGGACTGGCGATACCTTCGGTTTATGGTCACAAGCAGACTTTGTTGTTGTTGTTGTTTTTCATATTAGACCAGTGGGTTGAGCCAAAAGATAAAATTGTTTTCCTATAATATGAAGTGAAATTACTCATGACCACACAAAATGTAATTTTTTCAAACAAAAAGAAGACTTCGACAATGTGTAAACCACTGCATTCGTTTTGTCTTTTAACTGTGCAAGAACATGAACATTTGATCAATAGAAATGCTATTAATAGATAATGGGAAAAGTTCTCACGAGCCACATAATGGAGACATGGAAAATTGATGAAGATAGAACTTATAACCCATTCAACATCGGCAAGACCAATAGGGAGATAAATGCAGTATCCATCTCACATACGTAACACGTCCATATTACGTGGGCTGATAATTGAAAGTAGACAGATATCTGTGCAGCAAGGACTATCTTTAGAAGCAGTGCAGAGCTGACAACTAACTGTAAATGTAGACAGCTCATGCAGGCTGAGCCTTCTCTTCTCTTTCTGTAGTGGTTGGAAATATGTCCAAGAAAAAATGCATAGGTGACCAAGACTACACCTATTTCTTCTATAAGCAACAGCCTTTCCCTTCATTTAATTAAATTGGTCTTATCTTTTTCTTGGAGGAAAGAGTAAACAAGGACTTAATTTCTGATATGGACACTACTTCTACCATAGGTCAAAATTAGAGTTATGCTCATTCACACTTAAGCCTGAATTTGGTATTCAGACGCAATCAAAAATGTTTCTGCAGGTAAGTAAATCCCAACGCCTCCACATCTGGATGGCAAGTAGCATTCCTAATTTTACTTTGGGTTTTAAGCACATTTTATCAAGCTTCATTAATAACCTAGAGCATGGGTGACTTAGTGACATAGTATATTACTGCCTCTGAATGGCTGGATTCAAGTCCTGCCATAGGTCACTGCAAACAATGTGTAGCATCTTGGTCCAAGTTACAGAACCATCACCTACTGTGGTACTCGGGAGCTATTACTAGCTCTGCTAAACCATCAGACTCTGATGGAACAAATTAAGCTCTCTAATAGTCTTATAAAAAAAAAATGAGCCCAAAATAAAATGTGAAACATGTAACAGGATCTTCTTTTTTGTATCTCCTTAGTTGGAAACAACTTTTAAAATGAGGCATTCCAAAAATTAATATTCATTTTTCTAAATGCATGTTAATTTCTTATTTATTTCAGGCTTTACTAGAGACTCAAAATTTACTGCGCACTCAGGTTGCAAATTTTACCTTCAACCTTGGATTTTCAGGAAAATTTTACCACACAGGTAAGAAGGAACTTCCTGCTCTCAGGTAGCTGCAGTTAAATAGGTGACAGGATTTTAAACTTAGCTGTAAACATGCCCTTTCTAAATAACATGTTGACTCAGTGGAGCAGTGGGAAATACATGCTCCACCATTTTAGCATCCAGGCTCTAATTCAGTGTCCAGAGGGGCAAAGGTAGGCTACAGATGAGCTTCTCAGGTACAGGTAGATGCCCTTGGTGCTTTTCTGAAAGATGCGTAGTAGCACATCTTAGAGTTATAAAGGAGGCAAAGTAGCTGCTAAGAGATCTATAACTAGATCTCTATAACTCCACAAAACACAGGACAACACAGAAGACATACTAAGGATTTTCCAGCATGATAGGTATGATGAAATAGAAGAGTGTGGAAAAATCATGGCTGGCAACCTCTGAAGAGGCAGCAGTGTTCGAATGGGATGCACAAGATTTTGTTATGACGGTAAAGGCAATTTATCTCAGTTGTCTGCAAATCTGGAGGGATGATAAAAGGAAAATAAGATAAAAAGAAATTTGTACTGAAACTCTGCTCCTTTCACAGTCTATGCAGTAACAAGATGCCCACTTGCCTGTGATTCTGTGGATGATTAGGCGCCTTTACATCTCCTCCTCCTCATGACTCCTTTTCTCCTTTTTACTCCGTTTCTCCACAGCACTATGCCCCTTTTTTAAAAATTTTACATTTTTTCCTCCTCCTTTGCCTTCTTCTTAACACTTTATTGCACCTCCACTCAGGCTTCTCTCTGCTTCCACAGAGTCATGCAGCTTCCTAGCACTGCTAAGGCAAAAAAACATAATTCGCAACTCTCTTCAAAGAAGACACCTCCTGTCCTTCTCCTTTCCAAACCCCAGACTCTTCCCACCTTTGAAGATGAGCTCCAAAATCCTCAGCTGTCAACCCGTTCAGCCACATTTAGTGACACTCACTGAGTGGTGCCAGGAAAGCTGAGAAGCTTTTCTGGAGCAAAGGAGGAGGCATTACAGCAGCAAGAGGATGGGAGGGTAAGTTTAAAAGCTAGGAACGATGCAGTCGCAGCTGTCAGGGCTACGAGGTAGCTGTGGAGTAAGGCAGGTCACCCGCCTCAGTGTGGGCATAGCTGTACTCCCCTTTTTCTTGCCGGTATTTGAACACCAAGCAGATGAGCTTACCCAGCTCTTATGTCTCTGTTTCACCACCCATTAGGAGAGTACAGAGGTTCCTGAGAGAAGGGAAGACAAGGAAGCATTTGAGGGATGGCAAGAGAGAAGGAAGCCAAAATTCTGTATTTATATCAATGTCGCTTTCAAAGTCCAGGCTGTTTTCCCCTTGTGCAAGCACATAATGCTAAGCAACTGCTGCCCAGGAAACCTCTACAGACTAAAGATATAGGCTGGAGAGCCTGAGAAAAATGAGAGGTAGAGATGGAATTGCTTGCCTGGAGTCATATAACAAGCCAGTGGCAGACCTGTGATTAGAGACCAGCTTTGGTGACAGACCTTCAGTATTCTCCTCACTTCGTCTTGAGCTGCCTGTGCAGTTATTCCTTCTGGAGATTAATTGGACACACACATAATGCAGCAAGCTAAACAAAAATAGCCCAAGGCTCTGAGCCGCACTACAGCAGAATGCTGCTCGGTTGTGGCCATCTACAAAATAAAGCTGGAATCAGTCATTACAGTGTCCACTGCAGAGAAAGGTAATTCAAGGAGGTGGAGAACGAGATAATTTATTATAAATTCTATGACGTGCTGAACAGTGGCTGGCACAAAACATGCAGCCTTTCTACAAAATCAGACCGCTGACCTGCTAATACATTTTTTATTCGTTCATCCCTACGGCTTCCATATTCTTGTCATAGGTTTTCTTGCCTGGCTGATACAATGCTGACCAATTTCAGATTGGCTACTGCTGGAGAGAGAGAAAATAGGAGAATATCCATGTGTGACTGTCCTCCTAAGGCTCTCAAGGCTTACAAAAGTAGCACAGAACTATTTAATGAGTTGAAGCATGTCATCACCTCTATTGAGGGGCCTGCTGCTGCCTGTACTTGGCGGTGCATCCGAGTTTTTAAGTGCAAACTTCATTTACGTGTTGGTGGTGGCATTCTGTCATATCAGATTAGTGGAAAGGTTTCAAAGTATTCTCCATGCAATATATACTTTACTGACTCATTATAAATAAACCATGGAAAGGTATTCTTTAATTACTGTAAATGCAGCTTGTTTACACAGAGAGGCTTTTAGTATCAGATAGTCAACACGTTTTATTAGTGCATTGCAACTGCTGTGCCTTATTGACTTTCTTAATGTGTGATTTTGCTCTTCTTTCCAAAACTTGGACCATTTTAAAACTACCGGAGGGAGAGGAACATAGGAATGTGTTGGCAGATTAAACAGTTATACATTTTCATCAAAAGATGTTGCTGACATCTGTATTACAAATACCAATTCTAGCTAGTATGCCTGCGCACAACAGCTGACACATCAGCCTCACTGCTCATCATCTCACCACCACCACCACCACTCCCTTCAGTGGCACTGGTAAACTATGCACTGTAGACGTAATGCTATTAGCAAAATCTGAGTAGACCCTAATAGTTACGGACTTTCAGCAAACACTTCCTACTTGTTCATGCTGTGCCAACAGAAATTAAGATGTTCTCAGGATTTCCATTTAAGGTTTGTAAGATTATTGACAGCAACTTCAAACTCAGTTTCAGGTTTGAGCTCAAAAGAGACCTCTAAATTATGGTTGTAGTTTTAAAATATGGGATTATTTATTATGTGCAAACAAACTTGGAATTATTACCTACCTCTGTAAAGTGCATACGGCATCTCAAAGTGGATATATGTTTACCTCCTTGACTGTAGGTCTACTGCACTTCTCAGGTTTTACATTAAAGAGAAGATAGAAAGTTACATAAAGATTGTTGATTGTACAAGAAATTAAAACCTCAAAATCCCTTGTTTTTGTTACAATACTCTGAATAAGGGATTTGCAAAAATATTTAAACAACATAAGCACTCACCAAATGCTCCATTAAACCTTTGCATGAGATTGTTTTTAGAAATAGCACTACTTAAGAATTTGTAAAATCAATCAACAGTCTTTTTAAATTCTTGTAAAGAAAACTGTCCTCAAAAGCAACTCTACCACCAAATGTTAAACTTCCAACATTTCTGTTTCAGCTCTGCCATTACAGGATGGGGTTGTTTTTGTTTAAACTGGAAATTGTTATGCTTTATCATGTTTGGTTATTGTCACAGTTAAAAAAAGTGCAAAATTTGATTGGTTGTATCTAAATTTACAAATAATTAGTAGGAAAAAGCAAGATTTTTAAATATAGTTTTTAATAATGAAATTATTTAAAGAAGCATACTCTACTTCAAATGTTAATAAGGCATTACATTATGACCTAAATCTCATATTAAATTATTGTAATTCTCAATATATTTTAAACATCCACTTTTTTCCTCTTCATCCCAACCTTCAGTTTTCTACCTTTGGGTTACCAAAGAGATCTTCAGTGACTTCACAGACTCCTACCCCTTTCTCTTCTGTCCTGTTTTGCAACTCTATATGAAGTATCTTCCCCCAATCACATTTCATTTGCATGTGCCTGGGTGACTGCAAGTGAACCGCATACCCCAAAGAACAAGAGAGCAGTCATCCAACAGATGAAACATGAAAAAGTTTTGCATGAAGGAGCAGACAGTCACAGAAGAAGCAGCTATCATTCTATTCTTTTCAATAAGGAATTACAGAATCACAGAATCACAGAATAGTAGGGGTTGGAAGGGACCTCTGTGGGTCATCTAGTCCAACCCTCCTGCACCTACAGCAGGCTGCACAGGACCTTGTCCAGGCGGGTCTTGAATATCTCCAGAGAAGGAGACTCCACAACCTCCCTGGGCAGCCTGTTCCAGTGCTCCGTCACCCTCAGAGAGAAGAAGTTCTTCCTCATGTTCAGACGGAAACAAGGAACCCAGAGAACAAGGTTGTTTTCTTCTTCCAGCAGCACTCTCATCAGCGGGAGCAACTTTCTTAGAACTTGCAGAGTGCTGCAGAGGGAAGTAATGCAATTCAGTGACACCAGGAGAAAGTTTCAAAGTAATGCACTGCTTGTGTAGTAGCATTCTTCAAAAAGCACTGCAGAAGTGAAAAATAGAAATAAAGAGCTGAAGTGCATACACTGAACAGCCATCTCTGTGTGTTCCTGCCTCGTGCCACAAAAGTGAACAGAGACATCATGGAGCATTTTCTTCCAAATGTTTTGCAAAAATTCAAAAGGTTTGTAAGATGAAAAGATACCTATGTTTGCATCAGTAGACTGACTTTGACAATTCTTTCTTTACCGAAGTTAAATAAAAGTATTTAAATGGTAAAGGAGCAAGAAGGAAGGCTGCTAATAAACTGAATATTGTTGCGTAATTTGAGGGTGAGGTTACTGAAATATAACTTTGCCTTTCCAATTTGATAAAGCACTGCAGACATATGTCTGCAAACGGTGGAAGCAGCTTTGTATCATTTCTTAAATGGAAGGTTTTCTTTGCTATAACTACACATGCTTGCTTCTGCCTGAAGCAGATACTCTTCACTAACTCAGAAATTTTTATTATTTTTACTTCAAGATTAAACCTGGCAAAAAATGAATACTGAACCATAGGAAACTACATTTGGAAACTCTTCACCATTACAGCTTCATGTTATCCACCTAATCATATCTTGAAACTATTGCAAACTTGTTTCACATTTTACCAGAAATTACCAGATTTCAGTTTACTGAGGCTAATGATGAGGTAGCTACGAGTGTGGGGGGCAGGATGGCAAGACTTTGGCACACAGCTCTCTGTGATGCCACCTTGGCCAGCTACAGCTGCGCAGTGTCTGGCAGGACCAAAGCAGGTGGGTACATGTCCATCCAATCTCCACCTTCATGGGGATCCTGAACTTTGAAACACTCCTACTGCATTACATAGCACAACAAGCAGCCCTTGAAAACTAATGCTTGCTAGAATTACTGTCAGTTTACACTATACCAGGAATAGAAAACGATAACTACAATCCATGGTAATTCACCTCACTCCTTTTGTAATATGGTAGAGTCTGTCTGCAGCACAGTGAGACATCCAGGCCAAGGACATCAGGTTTTATGTCAGCGTCTTCTGTGTTTAAAAAAATAATTGCGGGTATTTTCTGCGGTTGCTTTTCTATTACCTTTTTTTTCTTCTTGATTTCTTTTGCAGGGACTGAAGAAGAAGATGAAGGCGACGACCTGCTGTTGAGATCTGTGGATGAGTTTTGGTGGTTTCCCCATATGTGGAGTCACATGCAGCCTCACCTCTTCCACAATGAGTCATCACTGGTGGAGCAGATGATCCTCAACAAAGAATTTGCAATAGTGAGTAAAAGTTACCAGCAGGTTTACTAGGTTACTTTTGCAAATTATAGCTATGCTTTCCAAGCCGTTTTTATGTTTATCTATATTATACATATATATTTACACAGATATGCAAAAAGGCAGCAAGATTGGAAACACAGGCCCAAAAAAAGTCTTGCTGTGACTCAAACTTGGGCTGAGTTTTGTCTTAGCCTTTTTCACTGACACGGGCTTTCTGAAAAGGTAGCAGTCCTTCACCCAAGCAAGACCACAGGGTTCAGAAGCATTGAAATCACAGCAGATATCAGCTGGCCTTTTAAGCTTTAGGAAGGGGTTTATACACAGGTTATCAGCTTCCTGAAGTCTGGTGCAAACATCGTCAACAGGGGAGGGATAAAGTTGCAGTGAACCCTAAATATTGTGTATGGTTTGTGAGAAATCTTTAAGTTAATGAAGCAAATAAGTAAAGCTGCTGGACTTCACTGTGCTGTTTTTAGATGACCTGCTTGAAAATATGCTTTTTACATAGCTAACCTGTTGCTAATCTTTATAGATAATGATTCATTTTTGCTCATTTGGATTGTTAATTTACTAGAGCTATCCTCCTAGCATTGCCCAGAGCTCAGAGTACTTGTTCTTTGAGGTCATGTGGAAACCATTTAGAGTCCTTACAGAGTAATTCTACTTGCTTATTGAGCATCACAAAGAAAACCTGAAATCTATAAATGCTTGCTTTGGGAAAGACACTGTGTGTGGTCTTTGACAAGGCATAGAAATGCCAGGCAACCAGAGCCACTCAAAAGAACAGAGTGGTACAGTGAGGCTTTATCTTCTGCTCGGGGAACACAAGTCTCAGTCCTTTGCAGCTCAGAAAAGCCAGCCAGCAGCTGCCCCTTCCTCCCATCCCTCATATGAGCCACAGCACATCAGGAAACCAGCAGAGGCAGATTCCTGAGCAAGCAGTTGGAAGCAATATATTCACTTGTTTATGAACATACTGTTCTAACAACCTTCAAAGAAAATTCATTAAAAATGGCTTAACTGTTTACGCTTTTTGCCAGACTTCCCCCCTTCGCATCTCCTGCTGGGCAGGGCATTAGTACAGATGCATTTTGGATGACTTCTTTTCTTTTCTACAGTTCTGCTTTGCTGTCAGCCTTCATTCCTGGCATGGTCTTTCCATGTCTTTTGTGTAGCCTGGCCAAGAGGCCCAAATATAGCTGAGATTTAAATGCAAAAGTAATTTTTTAAAATAATCTGTATCTCGAAAATACACGGTCCATTCTTCTTTAAACCTATGAGGAAATTCTCCCAGTATTATCAGGAAACACGAAGTCATCCAGGTCAAATCACCTTCAGGAGTAAAATCCATAGCATAGCCTGAAAACAGGGCTAGTAACAGAATCTCTTTGCAACTTCAACTACAGAAAGATAAAGCCCATGTCCCTATCTTCCCTGAAGGGTAGACACTCCTTAGGGTGCCTATAAATAAGGAGCTGATGTCAGTGAAAGGCTGCTGTTATTACAGTTTTATTTCCTGCTAACATTTGGACAGGGGTGGTACCAAACTCTTAACCTTGAATCTATATGAGCTGTACAATTTACTTATGAGAACATTTCTTTTCAAAAGGCTTCCTGTGAAATCCTCTCTGTGGGAGAAATTTATCTTCCTGATATGACAACCTTCCCGATAGCTATCAGAGAGGTCCCAGTCACAAGTTCAGAGCAGTTTTGTATCCTCCCCTGCTTTATCATCCTCAGCATCACAGCTTACTTGTGAAAGGAACTCCCTGTTCTACAGCTGCACTTTTATAATTCCACCAAAGTTAAAATAAACCCCTTATCATTATTCTTTGACTTCACAGTGTGCATCTAAATTTAAATTAGAGATCTAGAACAACACACACAAAAATCTGCTTGATGTTATACATGTTTTGTTTGTGCTCCAATATCTTAATTTAGTATTATACTCAGGGGAACCCAACCTGATACTGATGCCATTTTCTCTCGCATTTCTCATTTATTGACCGTATCCTCCCACCTCCTGTTTTAGCTGCAGGTAGAGAAGACTTTTTGTGTCAGTTTCTGCAAGGAAAGATGCAATAATTATTTGGAAGTACGATCACATTCGTTCTTCACCTGATGTGGTATTTCTTCATTCATTTTTTTAAACGTGTAAAAAGGTAACAGGGTCTTCAGGATGGGAGAGCACATCATTACACCTGAGAAGAACAGTCAAGTTGCTTTAAGATCCTGAATACCACAACAAAAATTCTGTTCATTATGACCTGCTGGGTCCTCCTGGTTTTATCATTTTAGAAGAAAGCTAAAACAGATCACTTTATCTGGAAACCTGAACCCAAATCCCAGCATAGTCAGCAGTTGCTCCATGCAAGACCATCAGGCTTGTGATTGAAGTTGTTCAATGGGGGAAAAGATTTCATGAAAGGAAAGTCACTTGAGTACTGAGGGTTAAAATCAATCTTAATAAACACAAGCCAGTGCACCTGAAATTACCACATGGAGCTATAAATGTACATAAACATAATTTTTGTTGGCTCTTGTATTTACACTGTACATATAATCCTTGGTTTGCAGGAGCTCAAGTACACATACAGTCTGCTGAACACAGGCAAGAAATACAGGTGTTACAGCTGGCAAATAGATAAAAGACCTCATTCTGTTTTACACGGATATATTCATACCTTGTAATGATGCTCTATAAAATGGGGGCTTACAATTGCATTCTGCCTCAAACAGCTGTGTCATGAAATACATGTAGAAATCAGATATCTAAATAGCTTTGTATACATACAACTATTTGCTAATTGGATATCTGCCTTCATTTCAGTGCATATACATATACGTCTGTGTATCTGAGGCTTAGTAAAATGAACAGTCTTCAAAGGATTCACTTACATGGGAAATGCTTGTGAAATGGGAGACAGCCTTTAAGAATTGCCCTCCAAATTATCATATCTTATGTGTCACTGAGATATTTATCATTTCTACTGTTTCATGCCTAGCTGGTGAGAGGAAGAGACTTTCACATATCTTTCATAAATGTTCTTGTCCCACTGCTCTGGTTTTGTCAGGCAGAGTGGGAAGTTATGCCTGGCAAAATCCTTGTCCACACGTGCCTCAGTGATGGGCCCCATCCACACCCCCATTCCCATAGCCCTTGCTTCCAAATCTCTTCTCAAGTGCTCATGATATCCTCAGCGCCAGAGGAACAAGATCTAGAGATTTTAACTGTGGTGAAGTAAGTTTGCTATCCTGATGTCACCTTTTTTACATAGATATGGATGGTGTGCTTCAGAGCCTGGCAAAGGAAATGGCAAATGACGTTTACTTTGATTATCAGTTGGGTTTGACCTGACCAAGTTTTGTGGGATTTTTTCTGTCAGAAGACCCCAAAATCCATTAAAGACTCTAATAGATTAAGTCTTGGGTTAAAGTTTGAAAACTGGTAATATCTCACGTATTAGTCTCCTTGTTTATAGGCAATGCAATTGATACACAAAGAGGTAAACATATTGTGCAAGCAGAAGTCTGTGATAGTACATATTCCAAAAATGAAATTAACCAAGTTTTCATTGCCATCCTTTAACTACAAGATATCCTTCATACCCCCTTTTGTACATCCTTATCTGACAAAAACAAGTAGAATGTATTTAATCCAAAGCCTATAACTCTTTATTTTGTCCCTTAATTTGTTTGCTCAGTGATTATCTTCTGTGCTCATTTGTGAGCGCATGTGCCCAAAGCATGGTAGAGATAGGGAGAAAACTATCATCAGCTGTCTAAAGGTAGCTGTGATCTGATATGAAGAAGTGAGAGACATACACAAAACAAACGAATTGATTGAGAGATACACATATTCAAAACAAATCAATTCAGAGCCTGTCTAGTAACGCTCCTTAGATTCAATCTCCTGTTTATAAACCAACTACAGATGCACATTAGCACTTCCTCTGCCTAAAACTTTTGAGCTGCCCAAACCACAAAGAAACCATGGGCTTTTAATATACCAATTAAATACCCAGAAAATGAAAAGCAGTGACCACTTACCAAAGGCAAAGTATTTACATGTGATGAAAAGAGAGTCTTATTTGTCCCATTATTAGTATCTGTAGTTAATGTTGGGAAGGAGAGATGCCCACTAGAGATTGCCTCTAAAAATATTCTGTAAATAGTCTACATATATAGGATAACATTGCCCTGTGCAGACAGGATGAGATTGTTTCTGCCTAACCTTAATGTCCTTCTGAAATAGTCCATCTTCATTAGTGCTTTTGACAGTATCAGGAGTATGCTTTGACAGCACGTCTCTAAGACTGCCTCTACTTTCTCAGCTTTATTTAGTACCACATACATGCAGAGTCTACATGTTTCCTAGTCTTGTATAGCTTCCTCAGTGCTGGACTACCTATCTTCATTTCACATCCTCAGAAGCCTAAGATCTTAAATCCCAACATCATCTCCATCTCTTGCACACCACGGAGATGAAAAAACAACAGTGAAAGCAAACACCGACATACAGAGCCCCTATATCTCAAGAACAATCACCTTTCACTTGCTGAAACGTCTTGTCTAGCTAGAGAGGTTTTAAACTGTTTTTTAAAGTTTAGAATTGAACTAAAAGTAATCGAAGGCTAAAATATTTATTCAATAAAAATTATGCAGAAGTGTAACCCTTGAGAACAAAAATCAAGTGTCCATAAAGGATAAAATACAACACAGTATTTTTGTGAGTGCCAAGCAAGAAAGAAGCCAATTCTTTTACCACATGAAAGAAGCTTTAAGTATTTTAAACTGACATAGTAACATATAATCTCATATAGGAAATCTCACCCATGTGCAGCAATATTAGAAATATACCCCAGTACTAAAAATATGCAAAGCTTATATAAATCTTTCAAGTTTGGAAGGCAGCATCTTTTAAAGTATTACATTTACTCCATCACCTACTGTTGGACAAAGTCAAAAGGTTTAGCAAACTTATCTGAGGTTGTATTGTTAAATTTTTCATCCAATAGAAGTCTTTACACTGAAGGGAATCCTGCAGTTCAACTGACTGTGTGAAAAGAACTACAGTAGACATAAATTTCATAAATTAAAAGGTCACCTTTTTATTCTTTCTGCGACAATGGCCAATACTAGAAGCTTCTGTAAAACAAATCATCAGCGATCTTTAAGAACCAGAATGCCACTTGTGTTATAATAGTTCTAGGGTTTGTTTCATTTTATTTCTTACTGCATTTTAAGAAAGACATGTTATATTTGGTTCAACCAAAAACTGGGGTTATTCTGTCAGACAAAATCCTGCTAATATAAATCGTCAGTCTTCCACATGATGTTTTTTTATTCAAATTTCCATCATCTACTAACAGAAAAGCTGCTATAGGAATGCAAAAGTAATTGTTGAGAAAATACATCCTTCCGGAGAGCAGTGCTCATTCGGCATTACCTGCACTTTCTTTGACAGAGGGTTTTTTTGCAAATGCAGAGTAAGTACACACAGCACATGCTGACTCACGGCAAACAGCTCATTTCTGTACAAATAGGAAGGTCGAAAGAGGTTAGAAGTTTCAAGCAAATCTTCGATTGCTTGAACAAAGCTGATAATTGAGATAGATAAGCAGCCTTGGCAGATTGCTTCAGCCTTTCATATCACCCATAAAACTACCTGTGCTAGGCATGGGCTCTGGGCAAGGTAACTCTGGAGGGCGCGCAGGAAAGCCAGGCTGCATTGGCAGGACAATGATTTTCCAAGTCCCATTGCTCTGGTTTGGGTGCATTAGCACAAGCAAGACACAGCAATTCCCTGGGCTCTGCCATGTGAAGCAGGTGCTGCTGGCCAGATGTGCTGGCCACACGCAGGCATCAGAGGGAGGGTTATTTAGAGCTGGTAGCAGCCTGATCTGTGTACCACATGCTCACTGGTGCATGGAGAACATGAGGTGTGCTCCTGGGGAGCATCTTCTAGTCTCGTCTAGCCCTTAAAACAAGGTGGGTCACACACTCCCAGTGCGCTCCACGATGCAAACCAATGAATGTGAAGTAGCAAAAGCTCAAGGAATTTTCTGCCAAAAATGCAACAACCATTGCATTATAGGAAATAGGAATACAAATTTCACCTATGCAAAATGAATGGCTCTGGCATCCCAGCTTAAGAGTGCAAAGGAACATAATACTACTGTTCTCAGTGCCAAAACTGGCCACAAGGTTTTCAAACTAGACAAATACACACACAAAGTTTTTGAACAAATTTTGAAATGAAAAAAAAATCAATGCAAGTCTAGAATGTAAAAATAACCCAATCAAATCTTGTAGGAAATTGTTCCTTAGCGTATATAAGAAAATATACTCACTACAGGCATCTCCCATGTTGCCCAATAGCTTAGATTCAAATGTATACTCCTCCTTTTACGCACTAGTTCCCAAGCCCAAACTAAGTTTAATAAGAAAATGAGGGGAAAAAGGAAACAGAGCAACAGAAATCACTAAAAGAGGACACACAATATTTAATTTACCCAAGTAAACTGAACATAGAACTGAACAAAGAAAATCTGATTAATTGTTAGTTCTTTCTTCTCAAAGCCGTATTGGGTATCTGAGTGACTAACATGTATTTGTTTGATGAACTACTTGATGTGCAGGTTTTATTCAGAGGTTAATTAGCTTTTTATATTGAGAATTTTTGAAAAGCTGGTTTATTTTATTTGTGAATGGCATATTACCATTTCACCATTCTGTTGCTATGGCAATATCAGCAGCAAATAGTAAGTAGATAAACAGGATTTTACATGTATTCATCCAGACACCTACTTTTGGACATTGGATTCAGAGCAGTGTTCATTATCTAGCTCAGGACACATTTGCCTTACATTTAGGTGTCTGTGTACTCCCTAACACAGGCTTGGTGAAGGTTTGTAGATTCAAGTTAATACAGTATATTTAAGTTAACACAGTGCATTTCACAGTGTGAGCATCACAGACTACTCAGGCAGAGTAATATATGGCCAGATTTTTCAGAAACCTTTAAATATAGCTTTTTGCTTTATACATCTTCATGGTAAAAAAAACTAGAGAAGAGAGTGATTTAACACTGCTCATTAGATAGCTATTCCTTATTTAACCCTTAAACTGACTTACGCCTTTCGAGCAGGTAACAACATTATTAAGTAGAAATTACAGTTTGCTCTCAGTAAATTACGGAATAGTGAGCTTGGGTTTCTTTTTTTCAAGATCAGCCAGTAACCTAAAATCTTTACTGATAAGGAATGGATAATTATAAGCAGTTACATTACAAGATGTATGAACAAGCATTCCCTACAGATTTGACTTAATTTTTGTAGATGAAACAAAACCCTTTCTTTGCAAAGCATTTGAAGATGCCCAGAAGAACCTGCTGTTCCTGGAATTAAAGTAATCAACAGTTCTTGGGTGACGTGGGCAAGAGGAAGGACAAAAAAAAAAGAACAAAAAAATAATTGTCTCACATTTTAGCCATTTCCTTCTGAATATCTATTTTATATGAACAGAACTGATGTATCCTGTAGTACTAGGAGTAAAATGAATTCAGTAAACACTGGAAGTGCTGGAAGGGATCCGGTGAGAGCCACAGTGTCAGTACACCCTGCAACCTGGAGATGCCGTAGAAGAGTGGAACACGGCTTTTATCGGACCTGCTGGAAATGAGCCTCAGCAGCAGAAGAGGCAGCGTGTAGCCTTTCTGCCAGTAACTGATGATAAACGCTGGGTGCATTTCCGAGTAGTCACTCAGACCAATGAAACTATTTACCTCATTTTCACATGTATAGCTTACACCTCAAACAATTTGCTCTCTTTTGAACATGTCCCGGTCTACAGATGTGGTTATCAGGCCGTGTCATCAGATAGGTTTTCAGACAGCCCACACTAAGTCAGTAGCGGGAGGGATGAGGAGCAGAATAAAAGCAGGAGAATGTCAGGAGTGAAGGGAACTTGCCCAGCACACTCATGGTTAAACTTCTTCCTTAATTCCTTCTGCCTGCACATTAAGTACGTTACTGTACCATCAGAAGATATTTTCAAGATAACCTATATATTATCTTCATGAAAATGCACATATTTCCTCATAGAAATGGAGCTAAATAAATATTTATGAAATGAAACAGATGTCCTTCAAAGTCCAGCTTTTTTGCTACTACCTTAATACTATGGAAAAAACATAATTGGATTCAGAAGCTATGGGGAATATTTATTCATTTATTTATAAAATTGGGAAGGAATCTTGCTCTTATTCCAGAAACAGGAAACAAAAAATCCCGTATATGTTATGTCACTGCAACAATTTTTTCCATTGGTTTACTGCTCTAATGTTGTTTGGTAGCTTAGTAAATAAGCAGCATCAGTTTACTGGATTACCTTTAAAAAAAACAAACAGGTAGGATGCATATTAAAATACATGGCAATATGTAATGAGCAGGCAGGTGAATCTATTCCGTGTAACAGTATACGCAACATAATCCAAGAGGATTATTTATCACTCTGCAGTTATCAAGCTCTAATTGCAGTTCCCCTCATCTCTCCCCCATTTTTAGCCGGTGCTACGTACAAATAGGTACAAGTCTGACCAAGTACAACCGCTTCTCTGATGCTGCTGTCTGCAGGAAAAATTAGCTTTGAATAATTACATGTTCCTTTTCTGTTCCTAAATATATTCCTCCCTCTGCTGTATCACAGGAGCATGGCATACCGACTGATATGGGGTACGCAGTGGCTCCACACCACTCTGGCGTCTACCCAGTTCACATCCAGCTGTATGAGGCCTGGAAGAAGGTCTGGCACATCCAAGTGACCAGCACAGAAGAGTACCCACACCTGAAGCCTGCACGGTACAGACGGGGCTTCATCCACAATGGCATCATGGTACACTGCATTTCCATGCTTCATATCAATAGTACTTTCAGCGACTCAAAAGTGTGCTATTTTTACAAAATGCTTCAAGTTTTACAGCAATCATTAAAATTCTCTGCGATCGAGGACTTGTAAGAATGCCAAAATAATGCATTTGTTATGCAGCCAGTTTCTAAAAAGAAAGTCACACAAACTCAGACAACTGCAAATGTAGTCCCATCAACTATCAACCAAGTTAAGTGCATACTTTGAAATTCATTGAACTGCTTAAGACCTATGTTTCAAGCTCTGGTTCATATTTATGCATGAAAGGATTAGAAATCCACCACCTAGGAAGGTAAGTAGGTGTGAGTAATCTCCTCCAGCAAGTATGACACTTCTCTGAGGCCGAGGTTTCCTTCCGAGCTTTGCTTCTGAAACTCCCAGAGCCAGGGACTGGACACGTGCCAGATTTATCCAGACCATGCATTTGTGCAAGGAGATAGAAGGTTCCTCACATACACACTGCAACTGCATGAAGGGCAGGAAAATGTACAAAATTATTTGGCCTGTCTTACCAGCCAGCTGCAACCCTACAGATATGTGAAACACAAAAACTGAATATGTGCAAGCAAAATTAGAAATATTTCAAGGGCAGGTCCCAGGATGCTTTAAAGTCGTAGCTGACTTGAATATTGTCTAGTCATACAAAGTCAAAGTTGTGATCCCCTAAACAAAAGGAACATCTTAATCAGAACCAAGAAGTTACTGCACAGAGTCCGATTACTATTGGAATAGAATCCAATTCAGGAGTCCATTTACACATGTATTAAAATGCTCTGCTGAATATAGGTTTTATCTGTTGTTTTAACAGAGTAGAAAAGCGAAAACACTGACTGGAGGGAAACAAAAGACCTTCCCCAGGTGAATTATGTCTCTGCATGGATTAGGCAATGTCTATAAGCCCTAACAGTTATTGTTCTTTACCAGAGCCCTTTGATAGCACCTAGCTAATAATGTAACTAAACCATCTAGTTCTCCAAGATGAGTTTGCTTTCCCATGCCTGCTAACTGGCTTGTTTCTGACATGTAGCCACTTGATTTATGACAGGATGGGGAGCTGACCTTGGACTAGTCTCATGCAAGCATCCCACTAGTCCTGTACACACTCCATAAACAGGCATGAGGGCCTCAGTATGGTTTCCAGGACTGAGGAAAGTATGACAAAACAAGTCTTTTGTGGTCCACAGCCTTGAATACAAATTCAGTGCCTCAATAACAGTAAGGTTACTTGCCTGAGATAGTGAAGATAGCCAGGAAGCATTATTTATCTGCTAATAAATTAATCTTGCCAAGGGAAGAGAGGTTTGGCTTTGTATTCTTCCTCTTCCAAATGCCAGGAAACAGACACTTATTAGGAGTGTATGAGCTAAATAAAACGGTCTGCACGTGTGTCGCAGATTTTCAGAGCTGGCATCTGGATATCTCCATATCTGCAGCGCCACGCTTGCTTACCATGAGAGTACAGAAGGCACAAAGGAGCCTGTAAATAAACACACCACTGCACAGAGGCAGAAAGGGTTGCAGTTTTGCTTCTTTAAGTTGCTGGAGGGATTCAGGTGGCTGCTGCAGAAAGAAGTTAATGCCACAATGGCACTGTTATTTTGTTCTCAGGTGCTCCCTCGACAGACCTGTGGCCTTTTCACTCATACTATTTTTTACAAGGAATATCCTGGGGGTCCTCAGGAGCTGGACAAAAGTATCCGAGGAGGTGAACTCTTCCTCACCATTCTTCTGAATCCCGTAGGTACCCTCTTTTGCTATTTTTTGCTCACGCTGACTAACGGGGAGGAGGGAGGGAGGAAGGGCAGATCTGTTTTCTTTGATCTTGTTGGGGAAATGAAAACAAGACCACTTGCTCAGAGCCAACAAGCAGTTTAAGAGGAAAGAAGCAAAATGTCTTCTGCTAATTTTCAACTATGACTGTATGCAATATGTTACTGGAAAATGCATGATTTTCAGCTTCATACTGTGTCCCAAGCTGAAGTCGGGTCCCCAGGAGACAAGAGCATGCTGACTTGTCTAACCGAGACTGAAAGGAACAAGCAAGGGTAGAGAAAACTGTGTGACTTTATTCCACTTTTTCTTTTTTCCATAAGCTTGGCTCCCCAGGCACTCCTGATATAGCTTGATGGAAACTCCAGGGCTCAGGCCCGATGTCATTCCCCCACTACTGGCTCTTAAAAATAGGTTTTGTGCGGCTAAAAGTTACCCCAAGGAGTACGTAGCCTTCTAATGACGACTTTTGCTTTGCTCAGTGCTGCATTTCTTTTTGTCTGTTAGCATTCCATGAACTATATAAATGTATGTCTGCACATATAAACAACCTACTTATGTATAAACACACACATGTGTATATCGTTTAATCAGAACTGTCACAGACTTTAAGGATGATTTGCAGAGCTTTCACACAATTTTATCCCTGAACTAATAAAGCGGTCTGAACTGTGGTGTGCTAATATACACATGCATATATGACAAAACAATATAGATAGGTGCATAGGTGTGATTTGGCTTACCAAGGATCAAAGAGGAAAGCTGCCTGACTGCAAATGTTATAATTTGAAGTCACAGTTCTCTTGCCTGTGAACAACAGTCTGGTGCTATTGAAGACAGCAATCCAGAGGTGGAAAAAGGAAGGACAAAAAAATAAATAAATAAATAAATAAATAAATCACATCAATTATTTTTTTGCCATTGTCCTCCCTTCTTCCTATTCCACCCAAACAAGCTATGCTACTCACAAGATAAATGTCTTGTGCCTTGCCAGGTGGCCTAATTTTCAGTGGTTTTAAATTGCACTACTCATTGACTTCTCTGCAGAGTTAAAGAACCTTCACGTGGAGCTAACTCTCAAATCCAGGTCACTTTTATTTAGAGACCTAAATATAGATTTTGGTATTATATAGTTAGATGCCTGTAGGTGAAAATTTTGACTGGGGAGTGAAGTTGGTGTCTGAGTCAGTGGGCTTAAAGAAATATTTCTATCAGGAATTCTTCTGTAGCATACACGACACCTAATTTGAGAATAAAAAATATCCCTGTTCTTTGTCCTGTCTCTCCTTTACCTGCAGTTCTCTCAGGCTGGCTTTTCTTCCCATCGTTTTCTTAGGTGTAACTTGGCTCATCACTGTCTTGGGATGCTGCTGGAATTTATCCTTAGCTTTATCGTACTTTGATCAACACCTGTGCATCCTTTACTTATCTGAAAAATTCCTCAGATTTAGGCAGTGCAGCAGTCTGTAGCAGAGTATGTTCTTACTCAGTCAATCACCGTGTCCGAGCCTGTGAGTGTGCTCAGGCCACCCTGACTTCCTCCCTCACAACTTGCTTTTTCCCCTAATTTCAGGTTTTTCTTACTGACAGCAAATAAGCAAGAAGTCACAACATCACAGTTGCTTATTAGAAATTTCAGCTTTTAGATCTTTTAAACAGTTCCATCTAAGTGTTCTTTCTGAAGACAAGCTGAGGCTATGGGGAAGGGTAGCTCTTCAGTTAGTCTAAAAATTATTTTAAAAGCTACTGTTGAACTCTGAATGAAATCGGATGGGCCTATGTCACCATTTATTACCCTCTCTGTAATTCATTAGCCTGCCATCTCCAGGCACCTCCCAAGCAGGACCAACCTCAGAGGTGCCAGAGCATCTTAATTCTGGGAGCTTTAACACCCTCAGCTGCTTGTGCCAGCCCTGCAGGTTTCCATCAGCTGCTTCCACCCGGACCAAGGTCCAACAGGAAAGGGCCAAGTACCTCCCTAGACAGGTCCTGCAGCACAGACGGGTGCTCTTGGTGTCCTGCTGAGCATGACACAAAGAATACTTGAGAGAAGCAGTGATGCAGCAGAGACAAGACCTTTCCTAGGAAGGCAATATGTAGTGGCAGGCAAAGTATTCTAGATTTAATCATGAATCTGCAATGCTTATGACAGAGTTAGAATACTGCTTTCCAAACAAAGGCGGGGGTAGGGATTGTATTTTCTTTGCTTTTCTTCAGTACATGAAGTCATTGTTTTGAGCAAGTTATGTTCCAATAGCTTGAAAGTGCAATATACATTATTGGGTGGTATTTGAAAAGAACAGTTTTTCTATATTGTTAATGTTCAATTCTCCCCTCCTGCTTTTATGATTTTCTATCTTTACCTAGTCAAAACTGATATTTTACTGAGCTAAGCGACACAAGTGAAATACTGACATGCACTTCCCTAACTCTGAGTTAAGTATGAATCTGTTCCAATATAGTGCTTATTCAGACAGGAAGAAATATAATTTAATCATGTGTGAGCTGAAGTAAGATATACCACAAAAACCCACCATCATTGAAGTCAGATCGGTACACTACCCTGTGAAATATTCACTGACTGACAACTGAAAAAGCAAAATCTAGCCTTCTCTCAGAAGGAAGCTGAAGTGAGTAGGAAACAAAATCATCTATATTCATACAAATTTTTTTCTTTTTTTAAATACCAAGCTTGGACAGCACACACATGAACAAATGGGAAGACCTTTCTTTTATTCAGTGTAAGAGAAGGTGTAGTGTTTTGGTGGTTAATTTGAAAAAGTTTACAGATTAGTATCCAAAATCTATGGTATCTTCTGATAAGGATCAATAGTGTGCCTATTCCACTGGCCAATCAAATTCAGTTGAGTAAAAAAAATACACTTTGAATGTGATGCACTCTCCAGTCTGACAGCAGTGCATACTGGAATAGCAACAAGAGACTTTCCATCTTATAGCCTAGAAGCTTTTCATACACCTCCACTCATTAATAACCTTCTTCAGTACTGGAAAATCAACCTGTGCAGTTCAGGGCTTTACTAAGAGCACAGTTCAGGGGTTTACCATGAGCAGTACAGCGTGAACCAGCGTGTGCTTTCCAAATGGATTATGGAAAAGAACTGTCTGGAATGTAAAGGATTTTTCAAAACCATAATTTAAAATTTTATTGTTGCTGTTGAGTCATGTTGAATGAGATGCCTGATGTACTCCATGGATAAAAACCATACCCATGAAATAAAATCCTAACCAGAATGCACCATCCCTTCTAGCATGTAGGCTGACTTACACATCGTTGCAGTTATCCTACTTCAAGTTTTGCAAGACAGGGATTGCCTGTACCATTGTTTATTTTTGAATTATTGACATTGTTTATAAATATTTTTGGTTTACTCTTTAAAAACACCGGTCAGACTCTTTTCTGGTGTGGAAGAGATTTGCAGAAACAGGATAGGTCCTATTAATTCTACTGCTATGTGGTTGCACAAGCCTCCTGCTCACCAGGCTCTGGTCTCAAGTGGGTGTGCACAACTGCCACTGGCATTAGTGTGAGTTACACGCATACAGCAAGTGGAAAGCAGAACCCCTCCACTTGGGAGGTGCGCTCTTCTAGAGGGTGAAGATGGTATTGAACTACCTCTGCTTGTGGAAAGAGACTGTATGCATGTGGACGCTCACAGGGCTACCAGGCTACCATGACAACTGAAAGTATATACAGAATATGTGTGTTATTACCATAAAAGATCATATTCCAGCATCCAAGACTGGAGTGAGAAATCTCCTTATGCAGCTAGCTATCTGCCCTGTGGTGCACGGTACTGTTTACTACCCATCTGGTTCAAAAAGCACAGGGGCAACAACAACAACAACAAAAAAAAAAAAGGAATATCTGGTTTTGCAGAGCCCTTTCTACAACTAGAGTCAACAATCTTTTTTTATCGTTTTACAAAGTGCCTTCTTGATCACTAGGTAGGCTAGAATTCAGAAGAGGGTTTTTGAGCAAGCTTGTTTGTGGTCGTTATCCGTCTGTCTCATTTCTATGTGGGTTTTTTTCTGTTCCCTTTGCCAGTTTTTGCATTGGTATGTTTCTGTATATTAGCCTAACAATAGTTGGGCAACAATTCCATGTTATATGTGATATACAGCAAAATTTTGGCTTTCGATGCTTGAAAATCTAGATGCTTTCCCTATAAAAACAAACCAACCCATAATAATAAATATTTATTATATTTGAGCCATATGTGCAGAAATGCTATGTGATGGGAGCAACGTAGAAGTGAGCGTACTCCATGAGCAGATACAGAGGAGCAGCACACTTCACATCTCCTACCACTACCTGGAAGTGACCAAAGCTGCTGAAGGACTGAAACCAAAACACTTCTCTCACTTTCAGTTTGTCTTGTTGAAGAGACATCTCGGTGAATCTATTGCTTCTTAAGGAGGAGACAAACTACACTGGATAAAAAACGTGCAGAGGGGCTGCACAGTTTGGCCTCTCTTTCACCATCCACCCCCAGCTTCCTTGCTGGGTTCACCACCTTCCTTGCCTCTTCTTACTGGTCCAACAGTTGCCCCTTTACACCTGCCAGTACCATATATATTCACTAGTTAGGGAGAACTAGAGTACAGCTGAGAACAATTCAGTTCATGTCCACAGTTGTTTTGAGGCATGGCTTCCAGAAATGAAAAGTCATACTTTACTCTTCAGCAAACAGAACTATTACAGGTTTCACACTTCAAGACAGTCTTTTTCAGACTGTTCCAAATTCTAGAAATAATCACAGTGCCTTGATTAAGATCAACACAACACCATGTTTTGCTGTGGATTACAGCTATTTAGCTGTCTAAAAACAAGCTAAAAGTCAGCTATTTCTCCCCTTCTTCTGTCAGGGGCAGAAAAAAAAATCAGAAACCAGAAATTCTGTAAGTGGTGACACAAGCTGTTCTGAAGAGACACAGATGCACAATAG